AACAGCACGGACAAGTCCTACCGCCAGCCCCGCCCTAGACCTACTCAGTTAGAAATCCTGGCAGTCTGTTTTAACAGGTCCTCCAGGTGATTCTCACGCAAGCTCGAGTTTGAGAACCACTGGCTTATAGCCAGAAAGAAAAAAAAAGGTCAATCAGTGGTGTGCTGGTAAATGATTAACAACCAGCTCTCCAGGAGAACAAAGCCTTGATATATAGCCTTTGCTAATTTCTATGGTACAACTTGGGTCATTAGTTTGGCCCTGTGATAAATGAATGCCAGACAGACAAATACAGAATCTAAGAAAAGACAGAACAAGAGTTCCATTGTGTGCGAATATAGCAAAATTTATTTATCCATTATTGATGAGTATTGGGTTATTTCCAGTTTGGAGTATTATGAATATTCTAGTATTGCTCCTATGACCATTCTAGCATTTTTTCTTTGAACATATGAATGCACTTCTGTTGATTATATGCCTGGAAGTGGAAATTGTTGTAGCACACAGTATTCCTGTGACCAGCTTTAGCGGGCGCTGCCATACGGTTTTGCATAGTGGTCTGTGCCGGTCTAACCAGCAGTAGCGCACAAGAGCTCCCCTTACTCCGTGTACTCTCCAGCGTTTGGTGTTTTCCTTCTTTTGTTTTTCCTTCTTTATGATTAGCCACTTAGCCATCAGATGTATTGTTTTAATTTTGATTTCCCCAATGACTAATGAAATGGAGCATTTGTCATGTGCTTTTTGGACATTGGAGTGTCTTCTCTTATGAAATGTCTATTCAAGTTTTTTTGCCCATTTTCTATTGTGGTGCTCTGTCTTCTTCTTACTGATCTGTAGAAATTCTTTGTGTATTCTGTATATGTATATCCTTTGTCTGATATATGTATTATAAATATCTTCTCCCATTTGGTGGATTACCTTTCACTTTCTTAATGGTGTCTTTTGCTAAACAGAAGTTCTTAATTTTAATACAGTCCAATTCATCGTTGTTCCCTTTCTGTTTAGTTCCTTTATGTCCTGTTTAAGAATCTTTGCAAGGTCATGCAGATGTCACCCTGTGCTTTCTTCTACAAATCACTTATTATTACATCAATGAGTTGGGCAGTTGGCTCAATTTTTCATTCATTCAACAAACATTTCCCTGAGCTCTGATAACCTGAGTTGTGTTTGGCGCTGTTTAAGATATATACTATTTAAGATACACAAAGATGGCAAAGATATGGGCCTGGAGCTCGCCGCCTGGGAGGGGCAGGATGGCTGCATGAACAGTGGGCGGGTAATCGTTGACATCTGTACTCACTGTATGAGCAGCAGAGTGGTCACACTTTTTAACTCTCTTCACTCTCCCCAGATCCCGTGAGGTAGGCACTGTCATTATTTCCCTCGCTTTACAATGAAGAATCAGTGAAGAGAGGGGAAATAACCACCAAGGCCACACAGAAGGCAGGGTCCTCCCCACAAAGTTGCAGGCGCTGAGCTTTGCTTTGTCTTTAAAATGGGGACATCAGCTGCCCACCTGTTGGGACAAAAACCAAGAAAGGCTTAAAAACTGGCTTGACACAACAGTTCGTGGGGCTGCAGTGAAGGGGCTGGCAGTGCCCAGGTAGGGATGGGCAGAGGAGATGGGCCTGAGACCAAGCTATAACCCACCTTGCCCTGAGAGAAATTGAGCCTTCACCTTTACTTGCCTGAGGAGGAAACTAGGGGCTCTGAGAGGTGAAGGGACTTGCCCCAGGGTTGTGCAGCCAGTAAGGACAGAGCTGGGTTTTCTGACTCCCTGTCGAGTTCATTATCCATGGGGATCTGGGACTCCCCTTTCCCTACCCCCACCACATGTCTGCACGGCTTTTGGGGAAAATGGCAGGGAACATACCAGCCAGGGAGCTGTTCTCCTCATGGCCCTTCCTGGCAGCAGCACTACTGACACCAACAGTTCTCTTCGTCCAGGATGACCTCTGCAGCTCGATGCCAAGTGACCACCTCTGCTTTGTCATTTCTAGGACTGGCTACCAGGTGCTCTACTCTGAGGCACTCAGGATGGCCCTGGCGTCTAATGCCTTGTGTCTGGTGTTTAGTCTGGTGTCTGGTTTCCTGACAGGTCAGTGTGACATCACCCTTCTTTGACCATTGCTCAAGACACAGCACCCAGGCCCAGAGAGCACCCCGCCCTGCGGGTGGATGCGTATGTGCCCATCCCCTCCCCCGTGAACCCGCCCCCTCAGCTCCAGCCTAATAACGTAAAGAGCTCAAACCTTGATTTTAAAAAATCATAGACTCACATAATTTCAGAATTGGAAAGGCTTTTAGAGGTCACCTGCTGTCGATGTGGACTCCGTGGCCAGGGAAGGAAAGGGCCTTCCCTGAGGTCATAAGTAGCAACATCGCAGCCTCTTAAGCCCAGGGCTGGTGACTGCACTCAGTTTTGTACAGAAGGCCCAGGAAACCTTACACCCAAAAGCCTATCTTTTATTTTCTGAGGACACCTGTATTCAACAAATATAATTCAATATCTACTATGAACCCGGCATTGAGGACACAGCAGTGAACAAATTTCCTGACCGCACAGGACTGACATTTTAGTGGGGGAGGGTCTTGACAATAAATAGACATGCAAATGTATCCTATGTCAGATGGTGATAGGTGCTATGAAGACAAAGCAGGCTAGGGGAACAGTCATTGTGGGGTGGGGTGTTCCTTTAGAGGACTGGTCAGGGAAGGCTTATCTGAGAAGTCAGCCTTTAAGCAGAGACTCAAATGAAGAGGAGGGAGACATGCCATGTATTTATTTGGGGGAAGAGCATCCCATGAAACTAGGATAGCAAGTGCAAAGGCCCTGAGGCAGGAGCATGCTTTGTGTGTTTAGGGACCGGCAAGGAGACCAGTGTGGCTGATGTGGATGGACTGAGGGGAGAGCAGCAGGGGTCAAGGGAAGAACGTACCTAAGAGCAGGCCATTATGAGAGCTGGGGAGCCTCTGGAGATCTTTAAACAAAGGAGTGAAGTATGTTTCCGCTCCTGCGATATGATGGGTCAGCAAACCATCTTGGGGAGGTACTAATTAACCAGTCTTACTTATACGCCAGGTGAAAATATGCATTCTGTTCAGAACTGTTCACTTTTATTCTATAAGCAAACATCTTTTGTTGGCTAGGCACCCATACATTGTGTCCCTAAGCAGGGGGTAGATGCCAAGTAAGAGACAAAATGGCATAGCAGACACTAATGAGTTGTGTGATGTTGGGCATATCACTTTACTCTCTCTGGGCCTCGGTTGGCTTCTCTGTGAAATTTTCTTTTAAGAATTATAGACTTCTGGAAACT